TAATTCATCTATTTAGAAACCAACAACTGACTAGGAGGATACATTATTTCTTTTGATGTGCTTTTTACCTATATTATCTCAGTTAATCCTTCAACAGCTCTCAGGGTAGCTGCTATTATCCCCATTTTATAGATGCAAGAACTAGGGCTCTGCAACCTCACATGAGCTACTTGCCCAAGCTATTGGTACTTGAACCCAGGTCCTCTGATTAAGCATCTTGCATTCTTGCTCCTACACTGAAAGCTTTCAAACAGTGGCCCACAGAGACCCCAAACTAACAACAACAGTAATAATAATGATCCTAACAGCCATGGTAGTAGCTCACATGTATTGAGTACTTAATATGGACCAGCCACTCTGTTGAGCATTTTAGACACTTTATCTTTTTAACTTTCTCTGGAATTCCATGAATGATTCCATCACTTGACCAAGGTCACACAGATAACATGGGGTGAAGCTGAGCTGAAACCCAGGAGGCATCAGGTTGACCCACCAGCACCTCTCTTTCCATGGGATACTTCAGGGACCATTTCTGTGGGTGGGAAAACGAGAGGTGGGCACAGCGGCAGGTCCCGGGGCTCCCAATTATTCTTCAAACAGAGCAGCTCTTCTTTCTGTCTTGGGATTCCGTGAAGGCAGCGACAGAGCAGAGGGTCACAGAAGGGCTTCAAGGTGGCCTTTAGCTCTACCTTCTCAGGACTTACACAATTTCTTACCCAATCACCACAAATGAACACATCCACTAATGAGAAACAGGATGCTTGCTATGCAAACACAGGTGCAAGGCAAGTCCCCAACCAAAGGACTCATCTTCACACCCAAGTACCACTTGAGATTTCATTTAATGAAAGAGTTCTGTGGCAAGCATAAATAATTTACTTAATTAAAGTTTCCAGATGGCTGCAGTGGCAGCCAAGCAATGGTATTTCTACTATTCCAAGACGGGGTGCTTCAGACACTTGCTTCTCAAAGAGATAGCCCATGGACCGGCAGTGTCAGCCCCACCTGCCAGTTAGTTAGAAACTCACAACCCAGTAGGTTCCACTCAAACCGATGAGTCAGAACCTATATTTAATGAGATCTCCATGAGATTTGCATGGAGATGAAAATTCGCAACATATGGCTCTAAAAGACCACCAAGTAAGGCGATTTGAAAAAGGGACAAGATTCCAAAACTTCCAAGTGATTTCCAGCACTGACTTGGGATCTCTCTTCTTCATTATCCATTTGATGAAGGCTATGCCTTCAGAAGTCCCTAAGCATTGGTCTATTGGTCCTCAATAACATTGCATAGTTCACCACAGACTTATCCTGGTACAGTGCTTGCCCCTGGGAGTGGAGCAGAGGCCAATTATGGTAGCCTCACACAGAAGCATATGACTTTCTTTTAATCCTTGAGTGGGGAAGTGCAGTCATCTTTGCAGGTCTGAAGCTGTCAAAGACGAGAAACTTCTTTTATAATAAAACCCAGAGGGAATTATGTCTTGCTTGATTCTTACCTTAAAAGTCTCAAATGCAGCACATGTGCACTTAGATTTGGAGTCCATGAAGAGGCTTAATCATATTTTACATGAAGAAAGACCTACTCACATGACCCTGGGCAAGTTACATAGACTTTCTGAGCCTCAATTTTTTTCATCCATAAAATAGAAATAATAATAGTATCGACTTCACAGCATTGATTGAATATGTGCAAAGTGCCAAGAACACATGATAAGTATGTACATGGCACACGGGCACACACACACACACACACAGAGAACAAGAGAGACAGAGGCAGAGCAAGAGCGAGAGCAAGAGTGAGAGAGAGAGAGAGAAAAAAAAATGAGTTAAAAGTGTGTTATTTTTGCATGGTTAAATTCCAGAAGTAGAGCGGTTATTATTTTCTTCCTTACACTCTTCTATATTTTCAAATTTTCTGCAATGAATACTTGTGATTTTAACAATCAGAAAAGACAATCATTTCTAATGAGAATGATGTGTCACCACAAATGGCTAGTGGAAAGCCATGACTTCTGGAAGGCTGATGGTGGAGAAGCTGTGGAGTGTAATGAGAAAACCACAGAATTACCACATCATGACCTTGCCACTTCAGGGCCATTATACCTTGGCCAAGTCCCTTTGCCTCTCCAGACCTCATTTCATCATTGGCAAAAAGGAATCACAATGTCTTCTCTATAACTCCATTGCATTTCTAAAAAGGTCACATCTGATCATGTATATAACGTGCTTTCTGCAATATAAAAGGCCTCCCCGTTATTATTTCCGTATTATTATTATCATTTATGGACAGAAAACATTAACATTCAAGAAAAAACATATTCACATTTTTTACTTTATATGAAAATGGTGACATCCATTATATCCATTATTTTAGGAATATTACATTGGAGATGAAAATAACACAGGCCCCTTCTAATATGGTTGAGTTTTACTGATATTCATTTATCTATGGATACAGGTTGAACTGCTTTCAAATACAATTGGTTAAACAAAAAACTTAACCAGTGATGTAGAGAGTAAGAAAACAGGCTCCTCGTATCAGTCTTCCCAGTTTTAAGATGAAAAACTATAGACTGTTGAGTCCAGACTGGATGGGGGCTCCTTCACTAGAATACAACATACTGTTGAGAATTATTTTCCCCTGGGCAGTTTTCCTTGGTCCTGACACTTTCCTCTTCAATCTGTCCAACTAAAATATATTTACCCTTAGCAAGTTCAATCCTTTTCAGAAAAAAACTATAAATGGTCATGTCAAATAATCATGAATTTATTTATTCTAAATATTATTACTACATAAACCTGCAATGTAAAATACTTTCTAACCTCACACTCCATGTTAAAACAAAACATATCGTGCAGACTCTTCTTAATTTATGACCAAGCAAATGTAGCTAGAAAGATGGAATCTTCTCATTTCAGATGATTCTGTAAATGAAAACAAGAGGTTTGTCATTAAGTGGTATTGATGATACCCACAGTGTTCATATGTTTGTCAATTTCATTAACCTCTCAAATTAGGTATTCATAATGTGTTAATGACAGCATAACACATCATTACATTATTCAATGTAATTTCATGGATATTATGTATAGTTTGTAATGTTAGAATCTCTTGTCTTTACAGCTGTTAGAAAACATTATACTTTCCAAGATGATTAGGGACGTGTGAATACCAAACAGCAGAATCCACAGCTCAAATAATGGTCCCTGCTTGGCCTTGAATTCTGATCAGGGTATGACTAGACAGTTTCCACTGACAAAGGACTAAGCTCCCTTTAACGTGTTATACGAGAACTAAAGAATCACAAAGCTGGCAGAGAGCTTGAGAATTTGTCAATTAAATTTCTTCCCTTCAGGCTGGTGGTGATAAATTGAATTATTATCTAGCAAACAGTCCCTCCCTCTCTCATTGGAATAGAACACACTTTGCTGCCCCACTGACTACTGAGGGGATTGGCCAGTGTCTTGTTCTAGCCTAGGAAATGTAAGCAAACCTGATAGGAGCAAAGGTTTTAAATGTGCTCTCGTGGCTGGTGTGTCCTCTTGCACTCCTGTAATCCAGTGTGAGAAGAATATGGCCCAGAGAGCCCCTTCCCTTTTAGTGTGGGCCCCAGAATAAGCCCCCTGCAGCAACTCTGAACCTGAACTGAACTTGGAACCAAGCCTGACCTAGCCCAATAAGATTAGCAGAACCTCAGCCAAACCACAGATGCACAGCTAGCTAAGAAACATAAACATTCATTACAAGACACTGAGAATTCAAACTTGTTTGTTACACAGCGTTCTCAGGGAAATCATAGACTCATACAATGGCAGAACTCTTTAACTGTTCTGTTAAACCGACAGCTGTTGCAACAGGATCATGGAATCTTCTGAGCTTTGACTTCAGAAGACAGCACTTTTGTCTCTTTCATTAAAATCTTGGCACTTATACAAAATGATACCGGGTATGTCACTTAACTTGCTGTGTGTACTTCAGTTTTCTTATTCATTCATTTGATAAATCAGTCACTCACATACATTTTTTTAAGTTCTTTTCATGTTCATGTTCATGTTTATTATGCTAACCACTGCAGATAAAATAGGGAATAAAATAGACATGTGTTTTTTGTTTTGTTTTGTTTTTTAACTACAGGGACCCACATTCTATAAAATGCATATAACTCCTGGTCTGTTAACCTTATGAGGTAAGTGGAAGAGATTATAAAAGAGAGAATGCAGTGAGATCACCTTTGTGACAGTACTAAAACAGTTAAAAGCCATGAGTAAATTTTAGGGAATTTTACTTTGAATTTTTAGGATTTTTATTGTTTGAAATCCAGCCCAAATTTTCAAAGATCCATGATCCTGCTTATGATAAATCTATGTCCAACTCTGAAACAGCTATTCTTATCTTCAGCTTGCAGAAAAATGGAAATCTTCATTTGTTTCATCAAATATTGTATGTGTTTGATATTAGCCAAGCTCTGAACTCAGCATAAGATAACCAGGAATCCCTTACTTCATCTCTAAGGCTATTAGAGAAAAAAGATGAATGAATTCTTCCCTTCCAATGTTTTCTGATTTATTTATATTTTTTGAATTTGTGTGTGAATTGATGCTAATTCCTTCACTTTGGCAATTGTTTAGTAACAAGGCTTAAAATGGATGCATTTGAATGGCAGGACTTAGGTGAGTGTCAGTGAAGTGAGAGACAGCCCAGGGATCATAGACAAGTCGACTCCTAGAGCAGAAAGACACTCAAAGCATCACCCAATCAAACCCTCGCCTGCAGGTGCGAAACTCAAACCCAGTGGCTGCAGTACCACACTTCGGAAGAGCCAAGAATGACACTGGCAGCTCTCTACCACAGTCCCATGTCCTCACCTTACTTAAACTCTACAGAGGGCGAAACAATCAGCTAAGAAAAAAAAAAAAAATCAACAGGCAGGTATCTTTCATCTGCGACGCTCAGTTCTGGATTGGGAGATGGGTAGTAGAGATGTATGTACTTATTCAGAAAGCCTTTCCAGTCTCTAGGTGATCCGATCAGGTCAGCCAGGCAGCCTCCTTCAAAGTCATCATGTGCTTTTTCTCTTTGAACCATCAGAACCCAGCAGTTAAGGGCCCCTGCAAGGCTCTTATCTTGTTTGTGGCTGTTGGGGAAATGATGTGTCACTGACAGCTGTTGCCCACATTTGCTCCTTCGCTCTCCCTTCTATGTAAACATACAGATGCAGCTCACATCCGTGGAGCACCCTCTAACCTCTCACTATCCAGTGGCTTTGTCTTCACTCTTTCCTGGCCCACCAGCAGTATGTTAAAGTAAAAGTAAGTGACTTGAAACAGCCCTCTCTACTTCTTTGCATGTATTTTACTTCTGATCTTTACAACTCTTTGAGGCATCCTTTATTATCCTCCTTTTACAGATGAAGAAATCAAAGCTCAGAAACTAGCTTGCCTAGGGTCCCACTGTTAATAAATGTCTGAACCAAAATTCACATCCAGATCTGCCTTCAGAACATTTCCCCTTCGCACAAGGCACACTTCTTAACAACGGAAGGAGCCCACAGCCACGCGGTGTTTTCTGCAGATGAATCCAGCAGGTCCTACTTCTAAAACCCACAAATATCAAATGAAGAAGGAAAATGAAAACCGGGAATTTCATTTACATTTCACTCAGCTCTATAGTGTTACCTACGCTGATAAAGCCCTTCTACGTTTCCTCTAAAAAGGAAATCAAAAGGTTCTTTGTAAAACCTGAAACTCACCCAAGATCTCGTCATCCTGCCTCACAGCCCTTAAAGCCCCATTCGCATCTGCCTGGAAAGTGTCTCTTGGTTATCACAGTTTAGAAGGAGGTATTAATCTCACTAAGCTACTGGAGGGGTGAGTTAGACAAGCAACCCAGTAAGGTTTAAATATATATATAAAGCACAAGATGTTCTTACATCTGCCAGTGAGAGCATGTTCCTTCAGACTCAGAGAAGAGGCAGGGGAGGCATGGGGAGACCATGGCCAAGTTCAATCTAGAAGAGAATTAGGGGTGAGCACGTAGTGACTGCAAAGTGCTTCAAAAATGAAAGTATATCTCAATCCCAACACCTGCCTGGTAAACCCTGGTTTTTCCCATCCTGTCACCACAGAGTAGTGGATGGAACCAGCCAATGCTCTCCCAAAAATGCCAACAATGGTGGTCACCACCTTGCATGGTCCTCATGCCTCACCCAAGATGACAACATATTCAAAGTGGAGATAGAAGTCCTTTTTTACAACAACTTAAAAATAATATTAACAGTTCTGCTTCCACTTCTTAAGGCCATGGCAATCTTTCTCTGGTGGGCAGCGAATGATGGAGCTCAACTCTGCATCCATAGAAGAGGTTAATTTGACCCACTTAAGGCTGGCTTTCTCGTGGCTGCTCACATTTACCAGGGACTGTCTAAACACACTGTCCTGCTCTCAGAGGAGAGAGGCATTCTGTGTCATCGGGGGATGTCTGACAGACACAGCTGATCCAACTGTCCCCAGTGCAAGACTTCAGCTGCCCTCTTGACTTGGGAAGTGGCTGCGGCATTGCATGCATGGTGAGAACCAGTTCCCCTGGGGTCCTGGGCTCGGTGGACTTGCCTCTCAGAGTCAGGCTGTTCTTTTCACACCTTGAAATGAAGCCAAACTCTGTCAGCTTTACGGCACTGTTGTCCCCATTGAGAGAAGCCTGCTTGCTGGCAGCCCCTGCCTGGAGCTTGCCTGTTGGCCTGCTTCACCCCTAAACCCCGCCTTTGATGGAAGCCCTCTACTGTGGCCCAACATCTGATCTTTTTCTTTATACTTCAAAGCTCAGTTCTGGAATCTCCATGGTGAAAAGATGGGGCTGGTGTTCCTGGGAGAAAGGGAAGAATGAGGACCTGTTTCAGTGTCACGGAGTGGAAAGAATATAGGCTTCTGCATCGGGCAAACCTGGGTACAGCTTCCAACTCAAGTCATTCGCCATCCAGGGGACCTTAACCCTCAGTTTCCTCACTGTTAAATGCCAAAGAGTCAAGTGAAAGAGCTCGGGCAAAGTTATGGGCACATGGAAGATAATAAATGTTAACAATTATTAAATATTTCAAGAGAAATTAAGTCAAGGAGGGTAGACTTCCACTGAGTAGCTCCAAGTGACAGCTGACATTTATCACACACTTACTGTGTATTTGGCTTTGATCTCATCTCATTTACTCTTATTTCATTTACTCCGCTCAATAATCCTATGATGCAAATATTGTCAACATCTGCATTTTCCAGAAGACGACTGTAAAACCCAGAAGGATTAAGTAGCTTCCCCAAAGTCACACAGTCAATACTGTGAGGCAGACACAGACAGTCCTCCAACAGAAGCCATTCTCTTAAGCACCAGGACATCTCCAACCCCTCCACGGAAGCTGGTGAGGCTCAGGGTTTCCATTTGAGAATCTACCATTCCATGGCTCACTGCTGTTGTTTTTCACCAGGGAAGTCAGAGAAGAAGAAAAGCTGACAAATGTTTATGAATGCTGGGAAAAATTAAAAAGTGCCAGAGCAAGAGCGGAGTGGAGAATTGTCTGCAGAATGAGAAAACCCAGGTGGCAGCAGCCGCGTGCAGACTTGACTTAGCCCAGATTCCCCACCAAACAGAAGCTGAGGCTGACATACACGCTAATGTTTTATTGAAAGATCCAATCCCCAGGCAGAAACAATGAGAGGAAAGGGAAGGACTGAAAGCAAGCACAAGGTCGGGGTGTAAACACGTGGTCGTTGCTTCCCAAGCCACCAAGAGATTTAAGGGTCCCTGGGCCATGTGGGGCTCCTAGAAACAGGCTGCACAGAGACCCGCCCTAGAGCAGCCTGCCCAGAGGGCCAGGGGAGGAAGTGGTCTGCCAGCTCCCTCATCTCCTGCCTCCTATTAGTCACAATCACCCCACAGGCAGTGACACCCATACTTCCCAGGGGGTCACCTAGCTTCTCCAGGTAGCTAGATGGGACACAGATCCCGCTCTGAGGCATTTCACCCTGGCCTGGGAGGGGCAGGGGTCAGAGACCCCCCAGGCCTAGTGCAGCCTCAACCACCAGAGTGTGAGAGTGGCCATTCGGAGTCCGTCCTCGCCTCCCAGGGATCGGGGGCGTAGGAGGGTAGCAGCCACCTGGGTGCTTCACAAGTAAGAGCTCAAGTCTCCTGGAGACAAATGAGGCCCAGAGAACTCATGAACCCAAGGGGGCTGTAAAATTGTGCCTAAACAGGACCTGGAGTCCCTCTGAGAAGTTACGGGCCAGGCACAGGAGGCCATGCCAAGCTGCAGTCCTGGGCTAACTCACAAGTCTAGGGGCTTGGAGGGGTTTCATCCAAGAATACGAGCTTCCTGGGCACCCAGAGCCATAGAGTCAGGCCAGCTAAGGCAGCTCACATGGCTGTCCCCACTCTTAAGACTGATGGACCAGAGCTCAGGCCGCCCCCAGGGCCGAGCAGGAACCATTTTGACCACCGACCTGGGAAGGCCACTCTTCCCGAGGGCTGGTGTCAGGAAGAGGCTCCTGGACTCAGAATGAGAAGTTGCCAATTCATGACGCACCCTGCCTCCTGCTAGCTGCACACCCTTGGATGAGGCCTTGAACCTCTTCTCTGCAAAAGCAGTCCTAGCCGGGCCCTGCCAGCCTCTGGAGTCTCTGTCTCCTCACCTGTAAAATGGGGTAAGGGTCTAGGCTGGTCCAACTCCTGGGGCTACTGTGACGATCACAGGGTTTTGCCAATGGAAACCCTACTGCCCTGCCCTGCAGGACTGTCCTGCGTGCCCCTGCTGGTCCACCGGGCCCATCGGCCTGAGGTCAGAGCGAGGCATGGCCGCCCTAGCTCAGTGTCAGCCCAACCCTTCCTATCGGAGGGAAGCAGAGACTGCCCTGTGCAGCCTGCTTCCTGCCCCATGACGAGGGGCTTCCCCTTAAGATGATTTTGTTTGTCACAGCCCATAAGGGGAAGGGTATTCCCTGAACCAGCATAGCCCTTTGATGGGACCAGGGAGCCCCTGTCCTGGGTCCAGCACTCCTATCACGAAGAGAGGGACAGAAGAGTCAATGGGGCAGGGCGCAAGCCCTCCTAGGGAGACCTGACCCCACCCACGCCTTGTACCCAAGCCCCCAGAATTCCTAGCCCAGATGTCACCAAACCTACTTCCAGCACCCAAGTCTGATCCCCTGGACATCCCAGAACCTGGGGAGGCCCAAGGTCCACCCCTGTGGGTGGAGCACCCTGGCAGGGAAGAATGAAGTTCAGGGAGGGAAGAGAGGAGATGTGAGAGGGGGAGGAGAGGCCGAGGGCAGCCCAGGGAGGGAGGAGAGGAGATGTGAGAGGGGGAGGAGAGGCCGAGGGCAGCAGGGGCTGGAAGAAGCTTTCTCCAAGGCCTTCTGCTGGCCCAAAGTCTCAAGGAGTCTGAATTCCAAATTCGAACCTAGCCATCGAGGTCAAGGTAGTAGGAGAGAAACCATTTTACTCAACAATGTATAAGCAAAATGTGTCATTTTTTAAATATGAAGATCTTTACCACGTAGGCCCCATTTGAACTCTTGCTCTGGGGACCTGCACATGTTCAGGAGCTATGTCCTTTTACTCAGCCTCCTTCCAGCACCTTCCACCTTCTGCTGCCCCAAACCTCATAGCCCTAGGGTGCAGTATTCTCCTAAAACCTGGATACTCCCTTCTGGTCCGCAGGCATCTGTTCTAAGGCAATCACCTTGCCTTGATCATGAAAGGAACGTCCTTTGAAAAGGCTGCCATCCAAAATATTCCCTGCTATCCATTCATTCACTTATTCATTCCTTTATTCAACAAACGCTTGAGTATCTCCTTCTGTGCCAGGCCACACTCTGGAGATAGTGCAATGAACAACACCGGAAGGAGCCCCTGCCCTCATGAGCTTCTATCTTGGTGGACAAAGACTCACAGCAAGCCAGTGAGCACATGAGATGAACAGAGCATCAGGAAGGGCCCCCAGCACCCCGTGCCTGTGCACCCACTGTGACTGCCCACAGCTGGGGGCCTGGCCCACAGCACTTCACATGGTGGACAATGAAGCCCTGTGAGGCTCCCTGTGGCCCCTAACTCCTAAGTGATTAGGCTGGGATTCCCACTCAGATGGTGCTGAGGTCAAAGGTCTCAAAGGCTTTCCACCACCAGGTCCCTCCTGAGTCAGGACTAGCATTAATTACAAGAACAGTATCAATTAGCCCCTCTTGGCTCCAAAATATAATGGCTGCTTCCTCTGGTACAATATCAGGAGCAGGCACCAGATGAAAAAGCAAACGGATTGAACACCACCCACAGAGATAAACTGGCCTCATGATCAACGATGGTGGATTTTTTTTTTTCAACACAGATAAACAGGAAAGGAGTTTGGTTTTGAAAATCAAACAATTTCCTTGCTGTAGCCGTATCTAGGTTGGGTATCGAAGAAAACAAAAATAATTCTGGGCACAGAAGGAAGATGGAATATTTCTGCACTCAACACTGGGCCAGTTTGGCTCATTCCCAGACATAAAGAATTCTGGTGTCCCTTTTTAAATAAAAATAAATAAAGCAGTTCAACCCAGATGGGGGTGCCAGCAGATGTGACAGAGCCATGGAGAGTGGGTGGGTGGTGTGCAACACTTGGCCATTGCTGACAGCAGCCCTGTTGTGAGGCACACAGCTGGGAGGACGGCACAGGTGCGCTCACACAGCCGGCATTCCCACAGGCCCGCCCACTGCCCTGATCTCAGGCCAGAGTTGACCGCAGGAGCCTCCCAAAAGAGGAGGCAGTTGTGGGAGGGAGGCTGCTGCCAAGCCAACGCCCCTGCAAGGGTCAGTCCCTGCTCTCTCTGCAGGGTCCCCCGCCCCCAGCAGCCCTGGCTCCCCTTCAATCCAAGGCCCAGCTCCTAGACCTGAGGCCAGGCCACAGGCTCTGCTTCCTGGCTGCCTCCTGCTGCCTGAAAGCCTCACAAGCAACTTCATTTGATTAAAAAATACCAAAGGCTACTTAACAATAATTGAGTGTATATTTTCAAACAGCTAGAAGAGAGGATTTTGAATGTTCCCAACACACGGAAATGACAGATGTTTGAGGTGATGGATATGTTAATGACCCCGAATTGATCATTACCCATTGGATCCATGTATCAAAATATCACTCTGTACCCCTTAAATACATACAATTATTACATGTTGATTAAAAAAAACACCAAAGGCAGGACTAGGACAGGACAGGCTTCATGGGGGATTTCAGGAAGTTCCATGTTCAAATCCTGGCTTGGGTGAGTCAACCCCTGAGCCTCAAGTTACTTATGGGAGCTTAGAAGAATCTCAACCGTGCATGTAAATATCTCGGCACAGCAGTAAGTAGTAGTAGTTCTTTATGATAATTTTAGCAGCAATACCGGGGAGGTTTCTGGAACAATTTTTAAAAATTTCATGAAGGTGAAAACCTCTTTCATGATGTTAAAAGAAGTTTGTCTCACTCCGCAGTAATCCCACCTACACACAAAAGAGACCTTTTTCTGGCTTTTCACGTTCTTTATGTTTGTGGGGTATAGAATTATTTTTCCAAGCACCTTTTGTTCTGTCAAACAGATAAAGAATTGATAGACACATGGAAAGTACTGGTATTCTTGGGGTTATTTTTAATGGTAAATGTCATAATTTCATTAAACCAGACAAATATTTAAAAGACAACAAGTTGACAGTGTTGGATGCCCTTGATGTGGTTCATTTTACATGACAGGTGACAACCCCTTTTCTTCTTTCAAATGCAAAGTTTCTAAAGCCAGACGGAGCAAGGGGGCCTTTAGCGCCCCTGAAACTAGGTATGTGTACTCCTTTTTCTACAAGAGTGTCCATAGCTCTTATTGGCATCTCAAAAAGGCTCGAAGCTACCCATGGGGGTCACCCTCTCCGGCACCAAAGGGAAATTAGACACCTGTTTGTTGAAGACCAACCAGACATCATCAGTTCTCCCTTTTGGGAACCACCAGTGAGCTCCAGGCATGTTCCTGTACCCCAGTTTCCAGTTCTCCCTTCGCTTCCCCTGTCTGCCTACTTTACGGACTCAGGTGCATCTTACAGGGATCGTTTTTCTGAAAATAAACACTTGGACATAGCATAGTGCAAGGAGGCAGGGGAGTGTGGTGCCAGGAAGCCGCACGGTGAGCCCGCGGGTCAGGGAGCAGTGGGCCAGCACCTTCCCCACTGCCCCCACCTCCAAGCCCTACTCTCCAAGGGCCCCCCCCCACCAGCCACCTCTGCGCTGTAAGAGCACTTTTACTGGGACCAGGAGAGAGGCCAGCTTTGCTTTTCATGAACGTGACCACTGAGTTCTCCTGGTCACTTCCTGCAGGCCGTGGGGTTCCAACATGGGAGATTCAACAACTGGGAGGCTCTGTGGCCTCCACTCCACTGAGCAAGGCCAGGCCCAGGATTTTTCAAGCTCTCCCAGGAGGCCTTTGAGTACCTGGTTCCCAGTGGCTTGAATCAAACTAGGTGATGCTTATACGGCTGAGGAAAAAAAAAAAAAAAGAGCTACTAGTTGGACAAATGAACTTATGCACATGTTAGAGTTTGACTTCAGTTATGTAATGTACCTTGCTTTCTCCCCAACCATGGGGTGGCCTTGGGAGCACCCACCAAAGGACCCAGACAGGGACCATCTCCAGGCAGTGACCAGTGCCACCACCAGCAGCCATGAGACTGTGAACATGTTTATTTGTTCACCTGTTTATCTGATTCCTATAGAGCCAGCTGCTCTGGGTTTCTGAGAAGCCTCACTCTGCCGCTGTACTACCAGCTGTGTGGCCAGACCTAAGTTACAGCCTCTGCTGACCTTGATTTCCTCATCTCTAAAAGTGAGGAGGGTTCTGCATTCCTCAGAGGGTTGTTGTGAGGATGGAATGAAATAATTATGTAAAGCACATAACACCACACCTGGCAGGTAACAGGTATTCGATAAACACTATGAGCTGGATGGCATCCTGGCCCCAGCATCGGGGTAGAAAACATTGAGACATTGCTAGATGCCACTTGACCAAGGTTCACAGATTGAAAAGAAATAAATGAGTGAGTGCTGAAATAAACAAAAAGAGTGGGGTGGGTGCTAGAGGAGCCGTCGCAAGCACTCTAAGCGACAGTGCAAAGCTGGCTTGCTTGTGGCAATACGGTTGTCAGAAATGCCCCCAGACAGCTGGGGCTCTGGCTGGGAGACAGGCGGGCTGCCATGTGGCCCTGGAATCTGGGTAGCCCATAAATGATGCATCAAGAGCAGAGCTGGCCACAAACCATGGCGATGTAGGCCACGGGAACATCTGTGCAGACAGAGAGGCTCCGAGCAAAGTATGCCCCAGCTGTGCAGGCCTGCCCCTGCACCCCCAGACTCCTTGCCCCTACACACCCTCACCCCTACACCCCCACACACCCCACCCCACCCCTGCAGGTGACCACTCACCCTAACTGTCCTATGGTGCACCCGCAAGTAAGTCCACCCCACGGTCCCCAGCTCTGGTTTACACAGCAAATGACATTTATTGCAACCTTTAGATACATAAAATGTTTTAAAGAAAATAGGCACAAGGGTTCCCAATGGCAGCACATGCTCTTTTCTCTACTATTAGGTGGGAGGATGGAAAGGAAAATCTCACCTCTGACTCCCAACACAGAGCCCTGTAGGAACGGCCCCCATCTGGTGACCCTAGCAAGTCCCCGGTGCCCAACTCAGACCTGGCACACAGGGCCCCAGGCGAGGCCCTGGAGCAAGTGTTCTTACAGAGCCAGTGACCATGGAGCCTGTGACCGTGCAGAGGGACTGGTGGGAGAAGTTGGGAATCACCCTGTCCAACATTCTTGTTCCCTGGGAACCTTCCATCTTCTTGTCTCCACCCAATCTGTCTTGATGGAACTCTAATTTTTTCAGCAATTTTAATCTCAGAAATGAGCAGGAAAGGATTCCAGTATATGTGAGAGAGAAGGATCCTGAAAACAAGTAAATATCCTGGCCGTGGACACCCAGTGAATGTTTAACCCTGCAGGATGGCTGCACTGGCACTTGGTGACCCAGCAGGTGACTGGGATCTGCTGGTGATCTTGGTTCACTGGATGATCTGTGGTCCTCCAGGTGCTCTGATCCGCCAGGTGGTCCTCCAGGTGCTCTGATCCGCCAGGTAGTCCTCCAGGTGCTCTGATCTGCCAGGTGATCCTCCAGGGCACTTTCTAGTTACAACTATCAGCTTCAGAGGAACACAGTAGAATGGAATCTTGCTCTGCCACTGCAGCAGCCGCCCGACCATACCCAAGTCCTTTAACCCCTGCGGCCTGGGTCTTCTCCTTTGTAAAATGGGGGAGACTGATCTCTATCTCACAGGGTTGCCGTGAGCATTAAACGAATTATTGTTGGTAAAGTGTCCATCAACGATAGGCTGGATAAACAAAATGTGGTACATCTACACCATGGAATACTATGCAGCCATAAAAAGGAATGAGATCATGTCTTTCACAGGGACATGGATGGAGCTGGAAGCCATTACCCTCAGCAGACTAACACAGGAGCAGAAAAGCAAACACTGCATGTTCTCACTCATAAGTGGAAGTTGAACAATGAGAACACATGGACACAGCGAGGGGAACGTCACATGCTGGGGGCCTGTCAGCAGGTGGGGTTGTGGGAGGGAGAGCATTAGAAAAAACAGCTAATGCATGCTGGGCTTAATACCTAGGTGATGGGTTGATAGGTGCAGCAAACCACCATGGCACACATTTACCTATGTAACAAACCTACACATCCTGTACATGTGTAGGATACACTTAAAAATTTAAGATACACTTAAATTTAGGATACACTTTAAAAATACACTTAAAAATTTAAATGTATTTTTTTAAAAGTGCCTTAGCAGGACTGCCACAGCAGAGTGCTCTGTGGTTTGCTATCTTTTAAATACTAGTTTTAAATTAAAATAAAATAAAATGTTTCTAAGACCATAAGTGCAAACTGCAGAAACCCTAAATGCAACTATTAGTATTATTATCATTATTTTCATGAGGATTGGAGAGGAGGGTAAATTATAACAATATAAATGATACATTTATCAGACAAGACTCCTACCTGAGAAAGGATATTAAGAAAAGTAAAAACTAGCCCAAATAACATATCTGTCTCTGCGCTCATTTCTTTTACATAACGACTTCAGAGAAAATGTTTTCATTCATCAAATGGTCAAACAAAAGTTAAAGCCCTGAAAAATTATTTGGAAAATCCAGTGTAAACTAACAAAAGATGAGATTTCCCATGGGCTAATCCAATGGGAAGTTTCACTTGGTACTGAATTTCCTCATAAAATTATTTAAAATGCTCTTTTGTTCCTATTCTCCTTTGCTACCAATTTAAAGGAAAGAAAAGTGGGTCATGCATTCAACAGAAGAATGAACCAGGCCGCAAAACAAGCCGAGGGTGAAAAGGGAAGTTTCCTGGCCGCGCATGTGGCCTCCGACACTGAGTGGTGAGAAGTGCACAGAACTCAGTCTAAGGGGCAATTATATTTTAGAGTCAAGAATGGGAACACTGTTTCAAAGAGGAGCAGAATTTAGAAAAGCAGTTAACCGTCTAAGGCTGCCAAACCCAAACTCTGTCCAGAGCCCTGGCCACAAGCAGAGCTGCCGGCAGCCAGACTTGAGGCAGTTATCCGCTGGGAGTGTGGTCAGCGGTCACCGTCCAGGGCTGCACGCTCACGGCTCTGCACACGGGACTGCTAACCCTAAGGCCACTGCCAGGAAGGAGCCCCAGGAACACCTGGCCTGCCCATGACGAGAAAAGCAGAAACAGCAGCTGCTGTCCTGCGTGTCACCAGCATCACCACCTCAACTGCTGTGCAGACACACCTGCCCAGAAACACCAAGAGCTTGTCCACCAGCGCTGTGCACAGCACGCTGTCCTGCAAAGTGGTCCAGCAACCATTCTCCAAACATACAGAGCACAACATACATGTCCAACCATCCAGATTGACTCGTGGTCAGTTTCTCAAAGGCAGGCAAGAATGAGTTATCCATTGCTCGATGTTATCCCTCCCCGAAACATAGTCAAATAATTTGCACAAAGTAGACGCTAAGTTAGAGTTGGTGAAATAACTTAATACATGAATGAGAGGAAAGAATCCTCATTCTACAGATCCAGTTCAGCTTAAACCTGATCCAACAGATGAGCAGTTCTCAAACTTTTTGGTCTCAGGATTCCTTTGCACTCCTAACAATTGAGAATTCCAAAGAGCTTTTGTTTATGAGGGCTCTCAATATTCACTGCATAATTAAAACAGCCTACCCATTAAGTCACTAGGAATTGAGAGCAAAATGTTCAATGTTCAACCAAGCTTCCCGCAGGTAAAATGTGTACAGAATGAAGCTGTATGGCAGTCACCAGGAGGTGCAGAGGAAACCCGGAACAAGCCGTAGAGTACAGACCAGCCACAGATGCCAGGTGAAGGGCCTAGACACACCCCTGCGAACAAATCAGTACCCTGTCAAAACGAATGGTGATCACTTCTGAGAGCTGAGCAGCTCCAGCATAGGGAGTGGCACTGTGCTTGGCATTTTACATACGTCACCTTGAATGATTCTCCTAACACCGCAAGGATCCATACTACTTCTGTTTATCAGAAACTGTAAAGGAGAGTCGATGAGATTCACTTAACTAGCATCAAACAGCTCCTAGAGGCTGGAGAGGGACTCCAGTGGGGTCATTCATATTTCCAAAATCCTTGCTGTCTCCACAGATCAAGCTGTTTTCCTAAAATAGATCATTTCTTTATTTCAGGTCCCCGGATCCCTGCCCCTGTTGTTCAGAAATGAACAATATGAGAATGTTCACAGCAGGCTACTCTTATAAATTCTTTCTTTGGTGGTTTGCCTTCTTGACAAAAAATTTGATTAAGGGTGAACAGAGAGTGGTCACTCAATGTTTTGAGAATCAGAAATTACATTTTTAAGATTTCAGAAGTGGTAGAGCTAATTTCTATTAATGTATATTCTTGGACAGGGCTGACCTTCCCAGGGGCTGGAATTGTTACTCATTCATGTATCCTCAGGGTCTGGTATGGTCCTGGCTCACAGAGATGCTCAACATACATTTGTTGAATCGCCTACTAAGTATACGTATTATATGTAGAATATATACATATATAGATAGATTCTCTTTGATTAAAATTTATTTTTTTTCAAATTATATTAGAATAACACTCAAGGAAAACTATAATAATTGCTGTTAATCTGGTAAGGCCAATGGAAAAATTATAGAGCCATAATGAAATTTTCTTTTTCCTTTAGGCATTTTATTTGCATTTATTATTATTAACAGGTATCACATATTGAGCCCTTTTTTAAACATGTCAGTCCCATTTTAACTTATTTATGATGACAGGTACTACATGTTACTGGTTTAGACCTTTCTTATAAATTAGTAAAGAAGCATAATTTAAGGATGTATATGGATGAGCAATTCAGACAGAGGATGAAAAAGGGCAATCATTATCCTAGAATATAAAAAATCACAATCTCACCAAAATTTCTAAGACACGTTTTTCTGTAGAAGATTCCTCCAGAACTCCAGCCAACTTCCACAGAAGCATGAGGTTCATCCACACACTGGGTACCAGATGCTGCCGATCAGAAAGCCGGATTGAGTAGAGGTGATGGGGTGAGGCTAGAGTGACTCTCTCATGAAAGAGAGGGGGACAGGGCAAAATAGAGCAATCTTGTCAACTTATAAATAAGTCCTTTATTCACAACCATGAGCTAATGGGAACCAACATTAACCATGAGCAATTTAAAAAAAAAAACCAAAAAACAGAAAATTCGGACTCCCAAATAACCATTTAACAAGCATTTTTTCAACACTTTCAAACCTAGAAATAAAATAAATTGGGCCTTTAAAAAAAGCAGCAGCAGAAAGAGACGAGTCAACCAAGCAGTTCCTATCGCCAATCACTCAAGCCTGGCGTTGCTCTGAGCTGTGCATTTCAATGTCATCCTTTTTGCTTGTTCTTTCTCTGATTCAGAGATTAGCCCAGCATATTATATGTATGTTTCCCACTTCCTGACCACACACTTTTATCTAAATTTCTTCAAGGTCTCACAATGAGACACCAGCAACTTCTATAAGAACTGATGTCTTTTCCTTAGCCAGCTCTTGTGTAATCTTTTCTTGTTACAATTTCCGGAGGGCATAGGTGCCTTTGTTCATTCAACAAATGTTTATCGAACTTTTTTGTAGGTACCTAGGACCTGAGTTTGAGCAGGTGGAAAAGCGCCTTGCCTGCATGGAACTTGCATTCTAGTTTTAAGGGGCAGAAAATAACAGAGGTAATGAGTTAGACTGGAA